CATAGCATAAATATTTATTGTCAAATAGAAATAAAAGGTATAAAAATAAATCATGCACCGGTCCCTGGTAAAATGTCAAAACTTGTTCACCGGTCCGTCAAACTTACACGTTTGGGAACCACTGCAGTAGAGCACATCACGTATGGTAAACACTTATGGGACCTTTGTCACTACATGGCATGAATTTCATGTTCTCCATGACTTGTTGAATCTTTTCTCCGGTCCCTCCTTCTTTATAAACAGCACAGAAGATATAATGTTACTCTCCTCCTTCCCCTCTTGTCTCTACCATCTTGCCCCCAATGGTCTATTACATTATTCTAGCTGTAAGCTAGTATAAAACATTTCAGGGTTTTTTTTTTAATCTATTTATTTTGTGTTGCTTGTTATTTGTTCGAGGAAGACGGCTTTTCGCCGAAACGTTCGTCATTCTGTGGCGTCTTTTTTTTTCTCCTTCAGTTTTCTCCAAACTCTATTTCATATATATCATATATTTGGAAAGCTTACCGGCTTACCATAAATCACCCTGATATTTCTGCATTGTGTCAATAGACTGTCTATTCCGCTAATTTTAATCGAGTTTATAAGCGTATTATTTTTTTATACTCTGTAACAGTAGGTCGCTTTGAGCCTTGTGCGACAGGTGTCTGCAATAAAAAATAAAAACAAAAAAGAACCATATTGTGTCTGTTTAGTTATAGGCTGAACAGCCAAGTGCAGGTGCCTGCACCATGACATCTACTACCATGAATGGAGCTGGGCTTCGAGTTTTGTCTACTACAGGCCTGTGTTACGAACCCCGTTCTTACCAGGGATTGTTAGCTTCGTGTTTGTCTGGGGGGCTGTTATATTAACTACACAAACCAATGCTTCATAGAATATAGTATATTTTCTCTCCAAACGACATTGTCAACTGCCATTACACGGTCACAGCAAACGCCACAACAGCAGTGCGTCTTTTCCCCATTTCGCACACTACGTTACAAAAGCCCCCACACATTTCATGGCAATATCTACCCAAATACTCTCCAAACAACACGTGCTCACAATACACATTCAAGTCCTTAACATTCTGCTCAATATAAGACCCACTTTGTGGCCCGCGGAGTAGCGAAACATTGTTTATTATGTTTAATTTAATAACAACCTCCCAGTCTGTCCGCACAAGTTTTTCTTAAGGTATTTTGGCCCACCTTACATTTTGCGTTGTGCAGACCTGTTCCACACCATCGATTAAACGATATTGTGTGTCACACCTTTATGACAGGCGTTCTCAACTTTAACACCGCGAAGCCCTAAGGGTCCCGAGGTCAAACCTTAGGAACAACTAAAGACTATTAACTTCTTCTTCTTCTATACTTTGAGGACCCATGATCAATGAACTGATCCTTCTGTTTGTAGAAGGGAGGTTCGCGATGTTTCAAACTTTACAAGCCTGAGGTGTTTCTCAACAGAAAAATGGCTCTGCGCGTAAAACGTTTGGGGACCATTGCTTTAAGATAACTCGTGTTAAAGATAACCCAGAAATCTCTATTCTATGACGGCTACCTACGACCCTGGCGTAACTTAAAACGTTTTCCATTATCAAAATATTTTCAGCTGCCAAGGGCCGCCGTTACAGGGGCGGATGCCCTGGGCACAGTAAGGCACTGAGGCCCCTAACCCTCTCTACACCTGGTGGCAAAATCGTCTTGAGATGGGCCCTTGATGCTGAATAAAACGATAAAATCCCATGTACTTCACGTTGACCATGGCGGTAAAATTGTTTTACCAGTGCGCCCTGGGCATCGTTTTTCCTGGTAACGGCTGTCAAAAGCCTAATATTCAAGTAAGTGTGAAAAGGTTTATGGCCTAGGTTGGCCCAGGTTGGCCTAGCCGTTTTGGCCAGTTTCGTTTAGGCGATTTATCCGCGGGTGAGTGGGGGGTAGTATGTTAGTTTGGGTATGGAAGGGACTACAATCCGGTGGAGGATTTTCTAATTATTTTTTGTATCTGGGGTTGGGAGGGGTTGGTCACTTTGCCCCAGGCAGCACAAGATACGTCTCACAATAAAGGAATGATTTGGATAAATAATTAACCTTCTTGGTTACATTCATATTGGAGGTAGAAAATAGGATATGTACATTTGTTGGTGGATGACAATATATTTAAATCCTATGGTATTACATTTGTGAAAAAAGAGATGTTGCATTCTCGTTTTACAAATATGTGTATGTTTATCTTGCTCAAGGCAGCACAAGATAAATCTCAAAATAAAGGAATGAATTTGAAAAAAATAATTAATTTTCTTGGGTAAATACTTGTCGGAGTTAGGAAATAAGATGTGTACATTCTTACGTGGATGACAACCGATTTAACTCCTATGATATTACATTTAAGAAAAAAACAGTTGTTACATTCTCTTTTTACAAATATCAGTATGTTCATTTTGCCCAAGGCAATTCAAGGTACGTCCCAAAATAAAGGAATTAATTTGATTAATAATTAACCTTCTTGGGTGTATACATATCGGAGATAGGAAAAATGATGTGTACATTTTTTACGTGATGACAATATATTTAAATCCTATGATATTACATTTATGAAAAAAATATGTTAAATCCTCTCTTTACAAATAAACATATGTTTACCAATTAAGAAAATCAATTCCGTTAACAAATCATGCGTAAATTTATATAAGCATACCCATGAACATCAAAACCCAATCATTTTACACACTTGAAACAATTTTGACAAATGAAAATGGATTAATAATTTCTTTCTTTTTTTTTTTAAATAAAAATATATTTTTGTTGTGAAACAATTTTGACAAATGAAGATGGGTTAATATTTTCTTTTTCATTTTTAAATAAAAATATATTTTTGTTGTTACTTTGCTAAAAGTAAAGAGGTGTGTATTGTTATGAGATTAACAATTTTTTTTTTTTTTTAAAGACAGTCAACTGATATAGGCGTGAAAAACAGTTGCGAGATTCTTCTTGATTCTTAGATAAAAGAATTCTTTGTTTTACGATTTTCTGATAATGTATAAAAAAGGCAAAAAAGCGTTAAAATTTTGTTATGAATATATCAATATATATCGAATTCCTGTAATACATAAGATATTTATATCATACATGAAGCTTTTGTGGTAAATTTAAGATTAGGTTTTTTAAAAATATTGATAGAAAAAAGTTGTAATTTAAGGGCACGAAAAGGAGTGAGTCTAAAATATTTCCTATGCGTAATAATTGTCCCTTAATTAACTTCTTTAGTGACAAAATAGATATAATTAGTGATAATTTAGACTGGGTAATTTAAGGTCACGTTTAGTTTGGGAAAAGCAGTTTAGGAGCGTGAAAGGGTGTAGGGTACGCGTATCATATATAGCAGATAAACACTTCTCAAAACTTAATGATGTTAGAAACGTAAATATCATTACATTTTAAAAGTTATAAATGGGAATGAGTTTTGCATTAGCCGTTAGAAATTATCGCAAAGGACCTACCATTATTATTCCGATAACATCGGGTCATTTATTCTAGTATTATCAGAATATCGGAACATATATAAAACGCAAAAACAAACAAAAAAAGTTCAATTTACGACCCCTTACGCCCCCCTATTGCACGCGTATTTTTTATGAAAACCCCCAACCCCTTGCTTGTGTACAATGAGCTTTCGGATTAACTCCCCCCTCTCCCTCGGCAAACAACACACCCCCCACCAAAAAAAAAATATATATATATAAAAAAATATTTTTAAAAATCCAATAATAATACCCAGCCCAATTAATTTATTTGGTTTATGTATTCACTATTTCGAGGTTTACTTGTTAGAATTTCATACAGGGAGCCTGGTAAAACCCGGATTTTGACATATGCGCCGGGAATCGAAACGTTTTAGGAACCACTGGAGAAGTCCTACTAAATTTACATCCCAAACACGTTGAACATGCCGGGGGGGGGGGTATTTATTACTGTAATAATTCTACTAGTGGTCACCTATCTGAGAATATATAGCGAGTTTATTTGTGGTATTTGTTGCCATAGCAACATTACAGCCATAATTCCTACACAGCATTGCGTGATATTTTTTTAAACATTCGATATTTATTTATTTATTTATTTATTTATTTATTTATTTATTTATTTATTTATTTATTCATTTATTTATTTATTTATTTATTTATTTATTTAGGCATTTTTATATAGCGCTTACCTTAAAGCTCTAAGCGGTTTAAAATTATTAAAAACATGTAAACTAACTAAAATAAAAATGAGACACTAGGATAGTAACTACTATACTATAGAAACAATTAAAATGGCTATAAAACGAGGACACTTTGGCACGTTTTGGCCTATACTACAGGATCAACCCGAGACAGAAAATGAGGCAGGGCAAGGAGGGTGCATCACAGGTCATAGGCGGACCTAAACAGATATATAAATATGCAATTTTTTGCAGTGTCCACGTTGCTCGATGATCAGTGTAGAATTTTTGAATGTCATGTATGTACATTCTGCCGTGACCCTTCTTAACCCCCCACCCCTTCCACCATACGCACGTCCCTTCTCCCCTTCGTGCATACGTACTATAAGGATGACCCCCCCCCCCTTATCAGCCTAAAGGTACATATTTACATTAAGGAGTGCATCATGGTGAGTAGGGCTGCATACAACAACAGCTGACGGGGCCGCACTCACCCCTGCCCGCGTCTTCTAGATTATAACATATTGGCGTTGGCGCATAAGAAAAATGTTGTTTTTTTGTTTTTTTTTAAATCTGTAACAAGAGATTAATAAGATAAACGTGTATACTCGCGCACAAAATCATGCTTTCGTTTAAATGGAAAAGAAGAGTGGGGAAAATGCATATGTGATGGACAAATTCAGTAGACCAAAAGAAAATTATTTTTTTTAAAGTTCAAGTCTCGTTACAAGAGTATTGGACTGCGACGAGTGGAGCTTGCAAGTGGACTAGCGAGACACAAATAATTTTGTGTAAATCAAACAAAACAGGTTAAGCTTAAATAACGACTCTACAGAACACAAATGCAAATGTTTCGGCCTCAACATTAGAGAAAAGAATCAGAATGGGCACAAGTTGATGACACAAACAAAGCTCAGGTGAACGTAGAGGAAGTGGGTGCAGGTAAAGCTTAGCGTGTCTTTCATTGACACAAACTGTTTGTTTCTCATTCATCTGTCTCCTCAAGCCGATAAATACATACTGATGAGTCTCTTGGATTGATGTATTCGCTTGAATTAGTCAATCGCCGACGGCTATCCATCCTGGTGGATAATAGTCTGGTAGGTTAACTTGTGACCTCAACACACTCCCATTGACAAAATAACCGTCGTAGTAAACGGAAATGCCGTCGGCCAACCAGGCCGCCCACCAACCGTAGGTTCCGCTGGATAATATCACGTGATCACAACTGGCTAGGACACCAAAGTGTAGCTCGGCTGAACCGGGCTCCAGTATTTTGACGTCTGTAAAATTTAAATTTTCGTGACACCATTGGAGGTCATCACTTGCCATCAAGAATGTGACCTTCCTACCGTTCAGCATTGACCTCATTCTGTGAAATGCGTTTATGAAATACGACACCTTCGGGACGCCAAATCCTATTTTTTTATTACCGTCTTCTAAGAAATCGCCCCGTCTGACGTGTACGCCCACGATGACATGACCTTTAAACTCTGCTCTGACCTTGCCCAACGTCTCATTGATCTGTCTCTGTAGAGGCACGCAGAAGGTGAACTCTCGCCTAACCTCGTCCTCGATGTTCTCGAAATAGCGAAAGACTTCCCGTGGCCCGTGCAATGTTATGTTTTCTCTCGGCAGACTCCACAGACTGGGGTACACGACGCCAAAAGTTGTGTGCCTCATCAGGCGGAATCTGTGGGACAGTGGACAAGATTGTATTACATTTGGACAGTGACAGCCAGTGCGGGAAAAGTAGCATATTCATTCATTTTATCCTTAAAGATATTCTTTTCAGCTCGCATTTCGGACTTGTCGCATTGTCTTTTTGCCAGTTTTTCTGTTGGTCTTTTTGTCTGTTGTCAGTTTGTCTATTTGTCTTTTCATCATACAATTTTTAGTTTTAACACGTGACACTTTTTGTTCATTGTAATGTTTCGCCCGATTTGAGTCGTGTAAACATCGCGTCTGTTTCGTTCAATGAACGACGGTGGCGCTCTTGTGAGAACTTTAGGATTTCGATGATTAAATTAAAAATAACATAATACTTCTATTGTCGAGAAAATACAAATTTTGATTTAAATGCTAAAAATAGCATATTAAAAAATATTAATGTAAAAATATTTGCACAAAATACTTCTTAAAATTTATTTTAAAAAAATCATTTTTAAGACTTGTCTGCATGCAATTCCTTCTTTTAGCCTAGCTTCATTTCTTCAGTCTTTCTTCGCTTACTGCGTTCTCACAAGAGCGCCACCGTCGTTCATTGAACGAAGCAGACGCGATGTTTACACGACTCAAATCGGGCGAAACATTACAATAAAAAGGCGTATGGATTCTTTTAATGCGTATGGATTCAGAACGTCAGAGGTGATATCCGCGAATTTTCATTTCCCTTTTTGGTTTGTTCACCAGAATTATGAGGATTATTGTATACCCTGATGCTCAAATAAAAAGATTATTGTTTAAAAATCCTATCAAGTTTCTATCAAATTTGATTATAACATTTTAACAGGTGTAATGTATTCAGGTGAGAATTAAAAAAAAAAGATGCATAAATATCTAACAGTTAATTAACACAGAAAAATAACATTATTAAACGAACAGAGTTATAAGCACAAAGACATTCAATTTTTTAATTTTTAAAAAAAAAATGCTATTTTTATATTCAGTTCTCTTATACGCAATAAACAAGTTATTGTGAGATAAATTTAATGAATAATGTGAGTACAGGCAGATTCCACAAGACCTTTTGTGTTACACTGTATGCAAGAGCTCTCTAACTGCAGTAGATAAACTCCAATCACAGATTGCGTAGACTTGATTTAGCTTACCAAGCGATAATGAAACTTATTTATTTTAAATTCTATTTTATTCTTAAAGGTTTATACCGAAAAATCCATGCTCACCCTTCTGCGCTGATGTTGTCATTAACATGTGTTATCTGGAAGACGTTGTCCAGGTGTGACCCTGAATGGATGAATGGAATTCTGCTCTGCGCCCTGGCCAACCCAAGCAATGACGCGTAAATAAACATATGGTTGCCGAGGCGACTCTGAAAGATCGTTGTCAGGTATAAAGGTCCTGTGTCGATGCTGTTGAATGTGGTGGTTTCTTGTTGGCTCGAGTGGGTCGTGTTGTTGTTTTTGGGGGATGTTTTGTTGTGCACATAAGTCTTTGAGTCCAAAGTGATGGATGACCTTTCTTGTTTTGACGAAGCTCCGACTGCCTCCTGCAGCTCACCGGGCAACGAAATGGAGAAACGAAAACTAAACCACCTGAAAGCAAGTATAAAAAGAATGTTGTTCAAGATTAGCAGAAATCATGCAGCCGAACAATCAATCATTATGTTATACCATGAAATTAGATGCCCCCTCCAAATAATTTTGTTGGTTTTTTTTCCCTCCCTTTTTTTTTTTTTTTTTTTTTGAAAGTTGTTTAAATTCATGTCATATACATTAAGTATTGAGGGCCAATAGATTACACAATATGGGGGATACATCTCTCACGGCCTGAGAGCTACATTTTGAACAGAAGACTCCAACACTCATGACTTACGTTGGGGAGAAACACATGTAGATCACTATTAAAAGTGCGATGATCGCTCCCGCGAACTTGAGAAGACCGGATCTTAAATTATAGGGTTTACATTTCCAAAGCCTTGACCTGCAACGTGAGAAAGGACGTGTTAGACTGATGGAAGACAAGTTTCTTCCTGGGCCCGTTCACAGTTTGGGTTAAGACTGACGTTGCTCAAGTTGTTGGGGTTTAAAAAAAAAAAAAAAAAAAAAAAATCCAATTTAAAAGAAAAAAATTAAAAAAATTAAAAAAAAAAAAAAATTTTTAAAAAAAAAAAAAATAAGATAAGATTCTCACAACGCTCCAAACAATTGGAAATCTTGTTTGACTACATTGCACATATTCATCTTCAGCACATAAATAGATACATATTTTGACCAAGACAACATGACCCGTTACAATTATAACAATTTAAAAAAACAATACATGTAAAATAATTATCTAGCTGGTAATTTCGTGCGGGCTGGGGGAACAATTGAGGTTTTATTTTGTGAAGAGAGGAAGACGAAATTTGATATTTTTTTTTTTAAGGCTTTAAACCGAACTTCGTGTATGACCATTGACACTAAACTTTCCGCGAGTTGCAAATATTAACCTTGCAATGTAATAGGGAACTTGCAACAAAATCGCAGCTATAAGAATCTGAATTTGACTTCTCCCTTAAATGTTCTTGCTTCCCTAACATTACTCGCCTCACTTAAAGTGCATGCCTCCCTTACATTGTTGATCCCCACTAAATTGTTGATCTGCACTAAATTGATCATCCCCACTATATTGTTAAACTCCACTAAATTGTTCATCTCCATTAAATTGTTCATCTCCAATAAATTGTTAATCTCCACCAAATTGTTCATCTCCCCTAAATTGTTCATCTGCACTAAATTGTTCATCTCCACCAAATTGTTCATCTCCCCTAAATTTTTCATCTGCACTAATTTTTTCATCTCCACCAAATTGTTCATCTCCCCTAAATTGTTCATCTCCACCAAATTGTTCATCTCCACCAAATTGTTCATCTCCCCTAAATTTTTCATCTGCACTAAATTGTTCATCTCCACCAAATTGTTCATCTCCACCAAATTGTTCATCTCCCCTATATGGTTTATTTTCACTAATATGAGTTTCTTCTATCATTCCGGGAGGCAGTCTGAAACTTCTCAAAGAACTTCTTGAAGATTTTTTCTTTTTTTTGAATTGTTGTTTTTTTTTTTTTGGTTGTTTTATTGGTGCTTCTTCCACCCGTACCAAGAAGCCGAAAACGTGTTCATTATGTGAAAAATTATCAGATTAAAATCCTAAGGAAGATAAAGGAGCCCTTCATAACAAATCTGGATGTGTAGATAATTAGAAGAAATCAATCAATGTATCAATCAATATATCATTCAATATATTAATCAATCTGTCAATCAATATATCATTCAATCTATCAATCAACATATCACTCAATTTATCTGTCAATATATCAATAAATATATCAATGAATATATCACTAAATATTTCAATCAATAAATTAATAAATGTATCAATAAATTTATCAATAAATATGTCAATCAAGGTATAAATCAATATATCAATCAATATATCAATCAATATATCAATCAAAATCAATCAATATATCAATCAATATATCAATCAATAAATACATGACTTGTATAAGGTATCAACGATACTCAGTATATAAATGAAAAATCACTGCAGCTCTGGACAGGACAACTCGAGAGCTTGAACTATTGTAAGAGGAGCAAACATAGCACGGATTCTGTCAAACATACAAAAATCTGCATGTGAAAGATTGTGAAACTGTCATGTGCTGACAACATTGACCATAGCTTGGAAACCCTTGTCAACGTTTCAATGTTGTTTGATTTTGAAGCTAAAGCTCCGGGAGATACAACCAGGAAGAATAAATCTGCCGTTCTCATTTTCATTGAGCCATAACCATTTATGAATGCGTGGTGTGCGTGGGGGGGGGAGGGGGGGCAACTTCATACTATTCGTCCCAACGCGACCAGATTTGGGGGGGGGG